AACAAACTCGCCTGTTAGACCCACATGTAGCTCAGGTTTAGAAAGAAGTCGGGCAAAGAAAGAGATACTTCTGGAAACCTGCAGGGACCAACCGCAGTCAGGGTGCTGATCCAAAACCCCGGGCGACGCAACAAAGAAGAAAGAGACATCCATTGTCATACGATACATGCAAACCTCATCTAACTGAAAATCATTTTGCTTAGTGTCCACATAAACAGACAGTAACTATTTATTACAGCACAGATTTAAAGAACCTGAACTTTCAGATCCTTTTACTGATGTCATTTTGTTAAAAACGTTGGAAAATATTCAACACTTTAAAAAGCAGTACTTGTTCCAGTGATCACCTTCCCAGCTTTTATACAGCTCCCTGATTCGTTCAGACTTCGTCAGAGCCGGCTGTTAACGAGCCTGTCTGCCGCTGATTTTATTTCTGTCATCTCACTCCTACTGCTGTTTTGGGTTTGAATGAACAAACCCTGGAAAATGCAACAAATCCATCATGAAATGTTACATACAAACATCAACCACCTGGAAAACAAAGTTTTTTTAGTGTACAAGTCAACTGATTTAATTAAAAAAACTTAAATTGTTATTGATTTTTTTATAGACAGGATTATTTTACTCTTTAGTCGTCTCATTTTGATAAAAGTTAGATGTTGAAAATGGACGTCTATTGGTCCAGAAATCACCTTCCCCAGATCTTCTAGCTCCCTCATTTATTCAGTTATTGTCAGATCAAACTGTTGTCATTTGTGAATTTATTTATTGTGTCTCACTCCGACTCTTCCTATGGATTTGAAACCTGTTTAAAACCTTGACGATGCAACTACCCTGAACATAAATATTCACTGTCTTATAATAACATAATTTTAAAAAGAAACTGCATCTTTTATTGTCTTATTAAGTTAGTTTTGCCCTTTAATCTCATTATTTTGGTAAAATAAACAGTTGGACAATTAAAAAAAGTACTACTTTCTGTTATTTGTCCAGCAATCATCTTCCCCAGATCGTGTAGCTCCCTGATTAGTTTTTGTCAGATCAAACTGTTATCTGCACTGTTTTATTTGATTTTATTTATTTTATCTCACTGTTGCTATGGATTTGAGTTTTGTTTAAAATGTTGAACAAGCCCTGGACGATGCAAAACCCTGAACATAATACATAATTTATAAAAGAAACTTCAGTTTTTCTTCTCTCATTAAGTTCATTTGACCTGTTAGTCTCGTCGTTTTGGTGAAATAAATGGTTGGACGATAAATCTGTCCTTTGTCCAGCCATCATCTTCCCCAGATCTCGTGGCTCCTGATTCGTTCCGTTTTTCATCTGTGTCATTTCGAGATCTATTTATTTTTCTAATCCCATCGGTGGTTAACTTTATGCGTTATCCACACAGACTTTGTGCAACGCCAATTACATAACGGCCGTTTGTGCCAATTGTTCCCATCTCAGATGCTGAAGAAACATCTGGAGTTGGTTGAAACCATGAAATGTGTGTTATTAAAATAACATCCAAAACAGCTCAGCTCCTCTTCAAAGCCCCAAAAATTAACTACTGCTCACCATGGCTAGAGCTATAAATAGCGACTAGCTTTAGCTATTAGCTTTTTTTGATGTTGGCTCTCGTTTTTTGGCCATTGTGCTCTAATTTTATTACAAACGGCAAGTCGAAACTGCATCACGTGAAGAAAAATCCAGACAAAAACAACACCCAGAGGCATCAAAACAAAGAAAGGAAAGTTTTTCATTGTTTTGGGGACAATTTCCATCCCAGTCAAAGCTCTGTTGGTAAACCAAAGCTTAATTAAGCCCAGAGCAAGCATGCTCATCTCCCCAACGTATTTAAAACACGCTTCAAAATTGAGTGTGCAGGCTATTTTTCAAAGAGCAATAAAACATCTCTGGTCCAGCTTTGATATTTTCTACAATTTTCAGAAAAACATGTGGTTCAAATGATTTGCAGAACGCCGAATTCTGTTGTTTTTACAGATTACACAGTGTCCCAACGTTTTCTGAAAGCTTGGTTACAGTCCTTCAGCTGCTCTGCATTTATAAATGATTTCAAAACATTTGAGGTTTAAAGAAAAAACACAAGTAAGCTTCTTTCAAAGCCAAAACATTCATTAAGTCTGTCAAAATGGCTGCCAAGACAAACCAGTTTGAGGCCGACCAATTTCTCCTCCAAACATAGAGGAGGATGAAATAAATACTCTAAATTTTAATACATTTTCTCTTTATCAGTGGAGGAAATGTTCGTGAAGCTGCATGCAAAGATTTAACTCAGTATTTATTACTTTAGAAAAGCATCTGGGATTTATGTGTCTTTAAGTTGTCTGAGAAATGACAGGGTGTGTCTAGTTTTAGTTTTTACACTATTATTGCTCTCCTTTAGTGCAGCCAACAAGTTATTCTGGCTCAGAAAAACATGAAATCTGTTACAAACATAGTAAAATCATTTTATATAATCTGCCATTCAGCAAACAGAAAATAAAAACTGTTGGCGTGTGGTGCAATTTTGGCTAAAACTTGCTTCCTCTTAATTTAGTCAATTAATCAAGTTCAATATTTAATTTAAAAACACACCGGCAGCAACTTTAAGGCTTTTTTTTTGTCTTTTAGTGTTTTGAAAAATCCTCTGTGTCAATTTTCTACTTTAGATCTCCAACTGGTGCCATTGAGTAAACAACATAGCCTAGCTTGATTTAATCCTGCTACATGCTCACAGTATCGTTCAGCTAGCTAATGTATTCTACAGAAAGTGTGTAAAGTAGAAGACACTTTACAGTTTTGGTGGTTTTTACTGCCATAACAAGTTTATGGTTTGAACTGATTTACTTTTCAGTGTCAATGGTTAGCATAGCCATAGCCTAGCTGTTATGCTAGGCTACGGATAGCAACGTAGCTTACAAACAAACTAATTTGATTTGGTTTCTCCAGGTGTTATTTTGTAAAATGGTTATTTTGTATTTTATAGTTTCTTTTTGTTATAATACTGATTAAACTGATGAAATAAATTGTTTTTAAAGCCAAAACATGATTCATTAGTTATGTTAAAATGGCTGCCAAGACAAACTTCAAACTGACAAAACTGCTCCAAGTTGAATTATGTTACATCATTAACGGTATCTGCAGTTCGTTAATATGTTTAAATTTTCTGTGAATTAAAAAAATCAGTCTAGATTATAGTTTGTTTTGAAAATCAACATGTTAGCTTAGCTTAGCAATAACTAAAAAGCATCATAACCAACATGGAGTTTGAATAAATTTAAAGTTTTAAATTGTGGTTACAAGTTTTATTTATTTATTTTATTTTCAGTGGACAAATGAGCTAACAGTTGTTTTCTATGAGTGTAATCTCAATGTTTCAGAGCAACTTTTGGTTTCAACATAAACTCCTTCCCAACAACCTACTGAGTATTTTGTCAGCTAAGATACTATAATAACAATATCTGACTTACTCATGTTAGCCTCGGTTTCAATAGTCATTATATTATGGCTCTTATGCGTATTATGTTTGAGTTTTTCAGTTTCGCAGCCTCTCTTCCAGTCCGGCTGTGTTGGTCCGTTGAGTTTGTTTTATCTAATCGCTTGCAGAGACGCCTTATCTGTATGATCAAGACGGTAATCAGTTGGCTTTGTCCAGACAACAAGGGGCCAACATGAGGCAAAGAGGGCCCCGAGGCCTCCCTGCTACCTCTGCTATAAAACTTTAACTCATAGACACGAACATGTCCTTTCAAGTCAGATGGAGGCTGAACGGTAAAGGAATCGCTGCTTAGATATTTAATCTGGCATCCATTGTTTTGCTCCTGTGTGCAGAAAAATGGAGAATGTTTGGAAAAAAAAAGATGTTTTGGTTTTTACAACATTTTTGCATGGAAGGCTACAGCTGCAATTTGTCAATCTAGCAAAAAAATGGTGGCTAAATATTTATGCTACACTCCAAAAACACAAAATCTTAACCAAATTTTAGAACAAATGAGTTACTGCACTTGAAATAAGACAAAACGAGTAACTTTTTAGCAACAAATGGGAGCTTTTTTTTAGTTAAAAGTAGTAGTTCCACTGGCAGATTGTCACTAAACAAGTCTTACGAATGATTGACTTACACAATTTTCTATATCTTGCTAAAAAGTTACTTTTAAGTTTTTATTTTGAAAGAAGATAAAATATTAATTTATAGATTAACTATATTTTCACCAGACCAAAAATACTTGATAAAGTCACAAAATTTTACTTAGTATTTTTAAGATAAAACTAACTTACAAATAACTTTTCAGCAACAAAATGGAGCTTGTCGTAGTCCTGAATAATTACTTTTACTGGCAGATTATTTCACTTATAAGCAAAACTAAATAAATCTGCCAGTGGAACAAGTTCTTTTTATTATTTATCAAGAATTGTTGACTTTAATTATGCTCCTATATTTTGCTGAAGTTACTTTTAATTTAGTTTTGTCTTATTTCAACCCCACTAAGATATTTGCACTAGAAAGTATTAGTTCTTGGTATGATTTTGTGTTTTTTTCAGTGTAGACTTTACGAACTCTCCACCTTGCTAACCTGTGTTACCTCACATGTTCCTCCTGGCAGACAAAGATGGCCGCCCATTCGTGTGCAAACTGAGCTGTATTGTCCTGACGTCTGCCTTTGTCTGTCAGCGACAGCCCTCAGCCCTGTCATGCAAAACGGCCTAAATCAGAGACTTTATGTGTATTAATTAAGCCTCATGATGAGCTCAGCATGATCAGGCATTTGAATGCATTCCTCTGACATTGTGCAAACTCTGTGGAGGTTTCGCAACCTGAGTCATTTAGATGAGCTGCAGATTGTAGAAGTGGGGGTGGGCAGGCAGATAAAGGGCTAAAGCACACAAACACCCATCGGACGGCCGGCCTGCAGGCTCCCACTGAAACACACACAGAGGTGCTAATGAGAAATAATCACGCTGTTAGTTGCAGTTACACGCAGCACAATAAAAAATGCAAATAGGCACAACTGTGAAAAGGACAAGGAATACATTTATATAGGGACAAATCATACAGTTACAAATGCACTGCAAAAACACAAAATGCCAAGTTTTTTGGTTATTTCTAGTGCAAATATATTTATACACCTGAAAGAAAACAGAACTAAATTACAAGTAACTTTTAGAGAGATATAAGAGTTTAGGTAAATAATTACTGGAAGATTATTTCATGTTCTAAGTGGAACCTCCATTGTAAATGTGCTGTAAAGTCAAACAATTTCACAATTGCTGTGATTCTTCAAGCAAAACCATCATCCTCTAACTACTTCCTGTCGTTGTCTTCTTTGTGGTTTCTGCCAGTGGTAACATCTGATTGTTGATTATGTGACTCATGATGCAAAAAACATGTTTCCACTACAGTTTTCCCAAATTAACCAATTTTGATACGGAGAAAAAAAACTCATCTCAGTCCAAAAATTAGTTTTTTCCCCCAAAACTGCAAAGTTTTCATTAAGATAATTTATTTTCAAAATGCAACAACTGAAACAAGTCATTTCTCATCAATATTCAGGAAAGATCTACTTAAAACAAGTTAGTTTTGTTTTATTTCAAATGTCCCAAGATATTTGCACTAAAAACTAGACCAAAAGTAAGACGTGTTTTTGTAGCCTGGTAAAAAAAAATACATTTTTCATTGAAAATAAAAGTTTCACCCACAAGGTGCACTATATAAAATTACATTTCACTTGATTGTATAAATATTTATGAACAGTAAGACTAGGTTTTGTATAAAATGCATGTGAGAGCAGGCGTCTGTGGAATGGTTTTAATTATCTGTCCCAGTGTTGATGTTCCAACGCTCACATGGCTGCAGCTTAATCCAGACAACCATGAAAACACAACCCCGACCTCAGCGTCCTCCATCAAAGTCCGCTTCTCTCTGAACTTGTTTTCGTTTCTCGTCAAACGCCGAACTCCGAGGTCCGCTTTTAAGCTCTGGCGAGAGCCGAGTCACATGGCAAATAAAGGAAAAAAACAAAATAAGTGAGGGCACAAGGCTCTCCCTCCTTAATGGTACCTAAAGGGAAATCCCTTTAAATAGTAGCTGGCAGAGGCAGCGAGCTGGCAGGCAGATCAAACAGTCGCTGAGCAGAAGCCTTATAAATACAACACGTTCACTTGCTGACTTCAAACAGCCTCCGCAGGCCGCTCCTCATGCGGCCGGGCCGAGCTGCGGTCAGCGTGTTCACAGAGAGACTTCAGTTCTCTGCGTAAACGCAGCGCTCCCGCTTCACTTCCCGCCAACGAGCCGTGTTCCAGCTCTCTCTTCACGTCAGCTCCGATTGCTGCGGCAGCAGGTCAAGACGACGATGGCGGCGGCGGCGGCTGGGGAACTTTGCTCTTCTTCACGTAGACCTCCGAGGCGGAGTCGGGCACCAGGTGGCTGAAGCTGCTCCTGAACGAAGCGAGGTGGTGGCCTGCAAAAGAAATGCGTGTGAAACGTTGCATCGCTGGAGCAACGTGTTCCTACAGGACGTCCTCAACTTGCGTTTAAAAAGAAGTGTTTACTTAGACGTCGCAGTCGAGCAGCAGCTGTGATTATTCAGGCTTTTTGTTCAGGACTGCTGCTCAAATACCAAACTAATGAGATTTTCTGAAGAGCCTTGAGGGGTTGGCATGTTTAAAGAGAATTATTGAGCAAAATTTCCACATATCTTTACTTCCAGTTGGGTTTCTACTGCTTCTAAAAACAGCTGAAGCTCTTTAAAAGCCCAACCGGCTGTTTTTTGGTAATAAGTTCATGTCTTCTGGTGTCTGAAAAACCTCCGATTGTAACGTCACAAATCAACAGGCGCTGAGCCGTTACCTGGCAACCCCAGGAAAGCCCAGAAATGCTTGTAATAACCGATGAGCCAGCTGGTTTTACTGCTGTCTGTGCCGTACAATGGATACTGGAAAAGTGTTTTTGGCAATTATTGTTCCGGCCTGCTGCTCAAATATCAATTTAATGAGATTTTCTTAAGAGCCTTGAAGGGCTGGACAGAGAGGGATGTTTGAAGGGCCTATTTAGAAAAATTTGCACATATTTGTGCTTCCACTTGAGCGTCCACTGCTTTTGAAAGCAGCTCCAGCACTTAAAAAAACACCCCGTTGTTTTAGTGGTAATAATGTGTTTTAACTTCCAGATGCGACGTCACAAATCAGCTGCACTTTTGCTCAGCAACCCCAGCAAGTCACCATCACCTAGCAACCCTAGCGAAGCCCAATCCATTACCTAGCAACCCCAACGGAACTCCAGCACATTTGGTCAGCTGGTTTTCCCGCTGTATTCACTGCAGAATGACTGCTGGAAAAGACGGGCGTTTGCTGCTCAGATTTCAGTCTAATGAGATTTTCTTAAGAGCCTTGAGGGTTTGGACAGAGTTTTATGTTTGAAGGGCCTATTACGGCCTACTAATGCTTTTCAAAGATGTACGGTTGTTTAACTGTGAATCTGTTTGCAGCCAATTTCATGTAAACGTTGAGTTGGGGGCCAGCAGCAGATTATTTGGATTTAAAGTGACAAGACACCCTAAAACAGTTCATTCTGACTGTGCAGAAAATGCAATGAACATGCTTTGTGTCGCTCATAGATTTAATCTAACGTGTTCTAATTATAATCGTTCACTTTTAGAAACCAAGCGTCTTGTTGGACTCAGCAGTTTCTCACCCGTCCACGTCTTCTGTCCGGTCAGAGTGAAGCTGTTGCACTGAGAGTGGGAGTTGCAGATGTGCGCAGCCTCTCTGGCGCTGTGGACGGACAAAACGCAGCCCTGCTGGCTGTAGGACGGCCAGCAGCGGTACTCCCCGTTCCCAGAGGTGCTCATGTCTCGCATCACGGTGTAATCTAACCACAGAATGAGAGACGGTTCTTCAGTACAGCAACTTTGTGAGGAAACTTAGAGTTATACCACATAAAAAATAAAAAAGCAAAATTCAGATCTGAAATTTAACTAAAAATAAAAAGTAAACAGTTGGGTAAGTAAAGAAAATACTTGGTCAATCAGTGTGACACAATGGCGTCTCGCTGGGTCGTGTGCGAAGCCCATTACTATTCACCATTTACATACAAAATCTTGGACAAAGTTTTCAGAGTGAAAATGTGTTATTTATGCAGATGACATTTTCTCCTCATAAAAACAGCATCAGTCTTGGCTTTAGAAAATCTCATCAAATTGAATTAAATTTGACACATTTAGAGTTTTTAGTTGAGCACATTCAGCATCACAACAAACCATGAGACAAATGCTGCTTTTGTTTCATTTTACAGCAAATATTAGCAGGAAAACCTTTTTGCTAGTAACTGATGATACAGTCTTCAGAACCAGGACAGACTAACTTTGGCCCCTTTACTCACTGCTTTATTGTAAATGTAACTAGAGTCTTTATGACGCCTATGTCATCAAGCTGAACTGGGTGAAAATGCAAATCATATTAAGGCAAAAAGAAAAAAGACAGAAAAAGAAGCAGTAATTGTGTCGCTGCAGGCTGCAGCCTTAAGTCTCTCCAACAAGCTGCTGCTGTGCATTAGAAGCAGAACTCCCCCCTCCGGGCCGACCCACTCCGTTTCTTCTCCCTCCTCCTTCTCAACATTTGCGTTACATTCATCATCATAACTCTTTCAGTCAGACGTCTTGTGGATCTGGCCTTAAATCATCTGCTACACATTAGCCGGAGCCATGAGAGAAAAGCATGCACACATACGTCTGCACGCACACCCGGCCCAGAAGTGGACAAAAGCCTCGCCTGTGAGTCGGTGTGGAGGAGGCGCAAGCTGGTAACCTTTTGTAAGTGGCAGGAGGCAGTGAGTGAGTGTGAGTGTGTGTGTGTGTGTGTGTGTGTGCGCGCGTGTGTGTGTGTGTGTTAGGAGTAAAAAACTTCAAAAGAAGAAGAAAAATCAGGAACGTTCATATCTAGATTCAGAAATTAAATACTTTGTATTCCAAATTGTGGCTTTAATCCTGAATAAATACCATTTTCCCGTCTTCCACTTACAAAAATTGCAACTCTACATCTTTGCTCCTCAGATGATCTCTGCAGAAATTACTGAAGACTCTCCATCTGTCAGCAATTTTAAATTAAGACTGGAGGTCTGATGAGTATCTGTTTTTCCTCTCACACATTCGAGCTTGTGGATTTTTTTCCCTTCCAGGGACATTCCACTGACACAAAGCATAACCAAAACAAATTCAAGACTATCCGGAGCTTAACCTAACCATAACTCACACGCTTATTCTGACCAGAAATGAGGCTGAGCTACTTCAGGTTTTCTCATGCGTTTGATTCATCGAATAAATAAAAAACTACAAAAACATGTCGGAAAGTTAGGCTTATTTCTCACTGCAAAAACAAAATCTTACCATGTAATTTTGGTCTAGTTTCTAGCGCAAATGTTTATTTCACTTGAAATAAGAGTAACTTAGTAGCTTTTTATCCAGATAAAGGAAGTTATAATTAGTAAAAGTTCTAGATTTACTAGCAGATCATTTCACTTAAAACTTGTTTAAATAAAATAATTTACCAGTGGAAGTAGTACTTACCTTTAAACATGCAAAGGAATTCCTCACTTAAACTCACATCTTGCTGAAAAGTTATTTCTAAGTTAGTTTTGTCTTTTTTCAAGTGAACTAAGATGTTTGCAGTGAAAAACAGACCAAAATTACTTTTGTGTTTTTGCAGTGAAGTTCCTCACAGTCAGCAGAATATCCAGATATTTTACTCAAATACAAGAAGTGATACTTCATAATCATGTTTACTCAAGTAAACATGATACTACAAGTGTTTTTCCCCCAAAACGTTACTCTAGTAAATGTTACTCAGGTTTCTGCTCAACTCTGAATAAAATATAGTGAAACTGCCATAAGGTTTTAATTCCTCTAGCAGATTATTTCACTTATCTTGCTAAAAATTCACTTTTATGTTAGTTTAGTCTTATTTTAGGTGAAGTAAGATATTTACACCAAAGCAGTCATGCTAATGCAGTCTGAACTTTAAATCGAAAACTGCGTCTGTGACCTCCACTAACAGGTTATAATAAAACCAGGGAAGGTTGCAGCAGAATCTGCAGAATGCGTTTATATTAAACAGAGACATTTTTCCAGTCTTATCGCTCGGCGGCGGTGGCAGCAGTCGACTCCTGGCACCTCCTCTCTAAGCCGAAACGTTCCCTCCCTTTGCTGGCAGCCTCTCTCCGTAACCAGGCCTCTCTTTTACCCCGGACCTGTGATTAAATTCACAAAGCGCTGCTATATAAACAGCCCAGCATCTGGGGGACGGAAAAAATCTCCCCACAGGAACGCAGCCAGTCATTCTGTTATTAATATTTCATACGGCTGAGAGGAGAGACGGGGAGAGGAGAGGAAAGAGAAGCTCTGAGCTTATATGGAAGAAGTTTAGGTTGTGTAGGATTGTTTTTATGGAAGAAATGAAACATTTCTGCAGAAGTATTCACTCTCCTTTTCACTGGGATTTCATGTGACAGACTAATAAACGGCACTGACAAAAAAATATTTTGTATTCAGCTGGTTAGAGTTGAACTGAAGATGAATTTTGCTAAATTTAGGAGGAAAATATGTCAAAAGACAAGAACAGAGGCTCGTTTTCAGCAGGACAATGAAAAAAAACGGCAAAAATGTTTGGATCTAAAGGCTAAAGGTCAGACCTACACTGCAAAAACAAGGCAGAACCAACTAAAAATTAACTTTTCAGCAACATATAGGGGCTTTTCCAAGTAAATAATTCTTGAAAATAGATTTCAAAAAAAGGCCTAAACTACAAAAACTTAAAATCTCACCAAGTATTTTTTTTAGTCTGGTTTCTAGTATACTTGAAATAAAACAAAATAAACCAACAAGAAACTTTTCAAGAAGATGCAGGAGTTTGTTTAGAGCCAATAGCGTTGATAATAATAAAGTACTAGTTCCATCGGCTGATCATTTAACTTATTAATAAAACATTTTTACCACAATATAAGTGAAATAATCTGTGGAATTAGTCATTTCTATCAATATTAAGACATTATTTACCTCCTATATCTTGCTGAAAAGTTATTTAGATGTTACTTTTCTCTTACTTCAAGTAAAATAAGATATTTGCACTAGAAAACAGACTTGGTTGTATATGGTGTTTTTGCAGTGTAAATTCAACTGAGATTATAAAACAGAAGCTGTGTTTCCATTACAAATGTGGGCAAAACTTTCTAAACCTTCTGCTAATGTTGAAAACTTAAATCACATGCAAATACGTTTGTTCACGCAATGTTCTTAAAGGGCCAGTTGTACCAAAATGCATTGATAAAACCCATTAAAATGTTAAGATATCAATAAATAAAATTCCTCCAGCAGGTTATTTCATTTACTAAAATCTTTTCACACTCATCAGCCCCTTCAGGGTTTTATGATTGTTTTTGGTTTTGTGCAATCAAAATCGCAGATTTTGTGGAGCTAATTGAGAAATATTTGTTATGATTTTTCCATGGCATTTGCATTATTATGATGTTTAAATGTGACTTTTCATTAATCGCAATGATAAACTATCAAGTAAGGCTGAGGCAGCAGTGACTTAAATCCAATGTTTTTAACCAGTTTTGAGAAAAATTTGTACTAAAAAAATAGGAAAAAATGTGAGGATTCATTGATTTTAAGTGAATTTTGTGAAAAACTGAAGGGATTTACTGATGTGATTTGGAGTCTAGAGGGCCACATAAACAGCTACGGCGAGCCAGATTTGGCCCCTGAGCCTTGAGTTTGACACGTGTCCTACCACTTCCTGTCGTCTTCTTTGTCGTTTCTGCCAGTAGTAAAACCCAGTTGTTGATCATGTGACTCTTCTGTTGCAGAAAACGTGCTTCCATTTCAATTTAAATGAAAAATCTGATTTTGTTTCCATTAAGCACATTTAATTTAGCTTTTTCCATTTGCTCTAGTTTGGAAATGCAGCTAAAGTCTCTCGATCCAAAATGTTGCAAAATTAGTGTCTTGTGCAAAGCAGGCAATTACACACAACAGGTTTTATTAGTAAAGAAAGCTGTAATTTCCCTCCCTCTTCACCACCAGGCACTATAATCTAGCATATAAATCCTATTGATATAAAGTTTGTGGTCGTGGGGGTGAATACAGAGTTCAGGATCAATTCCACTTTGTTTTTCTCATCCTCTCCCTCCAGCTGCCTAATAAAGTGGTCAGAAAAAACCAGAGCGGGAGAAACGAGCAGCTTTCATTTTTCTCCAGCTTATAAAATGAAAACAGAAGTGCAGATTGTGTGCGTGAAGAGTCGGCTTCATTCCCACAGCTCTTACCTCTCAGGGCTGAAGGGTGCAGGTTGTCCAGGTGGAGGCCCGATTTGTAGAGGAGGAGGATGTGTTCAAAGGCCGCCAGAGTCTGATTGATGTCGGCTTTCAGCTCCCCTGGAAAAACAAAATGAATCCAGTCTGATCTGCATCGTCACGTTTCTCATCAGCACTGATGTGATTTAGCTTCACAGGTTCACCACTTTAACATAACATTTGTTTCAGACAAGTATCACTCTTGTTGAGCTCATTAAAAAAATATAGAAAAACTTAAAGGGTGTTCAAAGTGTGGGTCGAGGGCCATTTGTGGACCCTAGATGGAATTTGTGTGGACATTGAATGATGTGAATTAGTCCCACCAGAGCGAGTGGTTGATGTAGATGGAGACTTTTTTTCACAAAATGCCAAATAATTAATTACGAGAATAAAGTTATAATATTTGCAACTATTTACAACTTTATTCTGATAAAAAAGCAACTTTTTTCTGGAATTATTGCAATTTTATTGTCAAAATGTTATAACTTTATTTTAGTCCACCTGAAATAAAAAAAAAAAACTAATTATAAGTTACTTCTTATTTCAAGTGTAAGATAAAATATTTGCACAAGAAACTTGTCAAAAAATACTTAACAAGTTTATTGTTGAGCACATAAACTATTTTCTAAATTAAACTTTGTGATAATTTTTAGGTTCTCCTTTGTTTGAGGATGATATAAAACGTTTCTCCGCCCTGCCTGGGGGGCAAGTCGTCACACGACGGCGGTGATGGAAAGATTCGCTCTCTGATCTCTGATAGTTAATCATGTCGGTGTGTGTGCCGTCCTCACCTGTGGTGTTCATGATGTGGTCGACCAGGTGTGTGAGGCCGGGAGGAGCCTGGTGAGGCAGCAGGTAGGTGAAAAAAAACCTGCAGCAGAGCAAAACGAGAGAAAAACACCCTGACTTTTCATGAAGCGTAAAGCTGCACTGCAATAACACAAAATCTGAAGTACTGCGTCTAATTTCTCAGTACACTTGAAATAAGACAAAACTAATATTTATCCTACAGTTTATTGCTATATTGACAAATTGCAGCTCTTGCTATTTAAACTGAAAGTCAATTTTACGAAACATTTCCGTTTTTTCTGTACAGAGCAGAAAAACAAAAACACAAAATTATTGAATATACATTAAAAAATGTCCTATACTGCAAAAACACAAAATCTTACCATCTAGTATCTAGTGCAAATATCTCTTTGTACTTGAAATAATAAGATGATTAAAAAAAACTAAACGATAGTTAACTTTTCAGCAGGATACAGGAGCTTATATTAAGTAAATAACTCCTTTAAAAAGTACTAGATTCACTGGCAGATCATTTAACATATAACAATTTTTTCCCATGTTATATGTGAAACAATCTGCTAATGTAACTAGTATCACTAATACTATGAAATGATTAACTTAAAACAATCTCCTATCTACTAAGATATTTACACAAATTTACAAAAATACTCAGTAAAATTGTATGTTTTTGCAGTGCAAACCTTTTTCAATCACAATTCAATAATAATTTACTTTAAAAAAGCTTGTACATCTTTCTGAAAAGTTACTTTTAAGTTTAAGTGTACTAATGTTTGTGCACTAAAGACAGTAGGTAAGTGTTTTTGCAGAAACCTGTTTAAAGTTTTTTTTTCCCAGCCATATTTCCAGATGTATGTCTTTATCTTTTCTGGCATTATTTTAGTTGTCAGTGTTTTAGTCCCACCCATCCATCACACTGTAAAGCTGTCACTTCTTCTTTTTTTCATACCTGTAGGCGTTGTAAACGTTCCTCTTCTCGTTCAGGCCGTCGCACACGCCCCGCGCCGAGCAGGGCACCGTGAAGTTCCTGTGCGGGAACTTGAGCGTGCAGTCGGCGTCCGTCCAGCAGGCGATCTCCCCGGCGCTGACGTCGTCCAGGTCAGTGAGCTTCAGCTGGCCGGAGACGGTGACGAACTGCCGCGGCTGGAAGTCCAGCAGCCCCACGGAGCCCAGAGGAGAGCGGGACAGGAAGTGCAGCAGCCGGACCAGATCCAGACACACCTGAGATCCAGACATGCCAAAACCTGATCAGTTCAGGCGCTGAATAATTTCCCTACAGCTACTGGATAATGACATGAAAACCACATTACAGGAAAAGTCATGTATGGAGCTGTGAGAATCATTTTCCTCTCTATAAATTGATGTTCTTTTTCTTTCTCCAAACTAACCTGACTCACTGTGAAAAGCTGAGTTAGGACGGCCTGACATAATAAGCAGTAAATCTACTAATCACATGACAGATTAAAACAATCAATTTTAGTTTTAATGATTTATTGCTTTTCTCTTTTTTACAATCAAAAACTGGATGATGAAAGTCTTCAGTTTGGTGTTTTGGTCTCAATTAGACCTTTTTTTAAGACTTCGTAATTCATTTAATTTGTTGTTTCTGTTATTTTATTTATTTTGGATATTTAAAACGTCTGACAGTTCAAGTGTTCAGTGTTTATCGATCTTTTAAGGATGTATTCCTACATTATTACCATTATATTATGAGAAAATGGTCTCAAAACAACAATTCTATTGTTTATCACGACGATAAGTTCTGGAACAATTTATGGTCCAGAAAAATTTGTTATCGTAACAGAGTTTTGTAGAAACTAGTTACATTTACTTGAGTAATTTTTTTATTAATTACTGCTACTCTTACACTGCAAAAACAAAATCTTACAGAGTATTTTGAAGTAGGATAAACTAACTTAAAAGTAACCTTGCAGCCATACAGGAGGCTGATTTAAGTTAATTATTCCTCAATATCGATGAAAATACAGAATTAAAAAAGACTGCTTAAAAAAATACGTATTCAGAGCCAAAACTGTAAAATATGTAAATGTAGATTTTGTATTTTTGATAAAAATACCTTTGCTTGTGATTATGCTTTCATTTATAAAACAGTTCTGAATACAATAGGCATGTTTTTTTCCCTACAACTAATTATCAAAGGATACAAAAACAACATCTAAATATATAAAAATAAACATTTTAATAAGAAAAATATAATTTCTTTTATAAGAAAGTCATTATAATATAATTATCCTTTCTCAGAGCAGTTAATTTGTTTTCATTTTGTTTATTTTGTTTCAAAATATCAATATTTAAACAGAAACCTGACAAATTCCAGAAATAAGAGAATCAATTATGAAAGGATAAAATTTAATCAAATTCAACAACTACTTAAATGTTGGTTAAATAAATTGTGGTTAGCTTCTGTCAGGCTGCGAACAGGGTTGTGTAACGTCGGGAGGTTCTTGAACGCCACGCGGTGGAATCAGGGCAGAGCAGAAAAAGGGTGAAACCAAACACCCTGAGAGTGATGCATCCTGCAGGGGCCCGGCCGGCCTGCCAGGGGTATCATGACCCAAAATTCAGACGATGCAGCAGAAAAAGAGCCACAGCTGAGATAATCGCTCGTATTTTCAGTCCACCACCCACCGATTCTGTCTGACAAACGGTTCCACTTATTCACATTATATTCCACGGAGAGGAAGAAGTCTACAGCTGAAACGATTAATTGGTTTAATTCTTATTAATCAATAAGTTAAATAATCATTCATTATTAATTAGAATTTAAAGACATAAAAAAGGACCATTCGCTGAAAAAAAACAGAGCAGTAATTTTTTCAAAACTGTGTAAAAATTAATACATTTTGCATTTAAAGGTGCAGCATATAACTTTTATATAAAAATAGGTTGTTTTTTTACATATTTGTTAAAACTGTCAATATGTCTTCAGTTTGCTCCACTTCCATCCAGAGATACTATTTCCATCTGAAAACAACAAATCCGAGCCAGCAGGAGGGTCTCAGCACTGTCAATCATCCTCATGTACTCGCTACTAAATGTGCTTCTGGCGGAAAAACAACCTACAGTTACAGGAAATCTTTTGTCCCCCGCTGTGCTGAGGATAAGGCATTTACGACAGGCTATGCTAGCTGCAGGTAGAAGAGAGTACGGAGGGATGGTGAAGAGTGATTGACAGCGCTAAGAACCGCCTCCTGTGCTCTATTGGTTGTTTCTAGTTAGAAAAAGACAAAGGAGCTTGATTTTTTCACAGCTTATGATAACTTTTTTTTACAGCTTTAACTGAAGTATACAAATGCAAAAACAAGAACATTGATTAAGATAAAACTGTATAAAATGTATCTGCATTTTTCCTTTAAGGTAAAGAAAACAAAACATTTTTGTCTGTAAACACATTCTACCCAAAACTGTTAAATTTAAGTTTCACTTGCAAAAATCTCCCACTTACCATCTTCTGCTGTACAATTATTAATCGGCTGATCTAAATTTATAGTCAATTTTGTCACATGTTGATGTTAGAAGTACATTTTTTAGCTGTAGATGATCAAGAGTTCACTAAAATAATACTTTTATTACTTTTTAAGCATTAAAATGTTTAGTTTTTCATACATTTAATTATGTGGTTAAGTTAAAAATCTGTGTAATGTGGCAATTTTTTAAATTCGATTAATTGTCCAAAAAATTTATTACTAAAATAATTGTTAATTACAGAAATGAATGAAGAGCTAAAAAAAGAGAAGAAGCTGCTGTTTACCCTGAATCTGTCCTCCCAGGGAGTCTGGAGCAGCTGGATCATCTGGAGAGGAATCCCCTGCTCCAGAATGACAGCGACTCTTCCTCTTTCCGCTCCTCCTCCTCCCAGGACTCCTGAACAGTGGCCCTTCAGCTACAGAGGAAGAAATAACAGCACAGTAAATAAGGACGTAGTAGAAAACCCAAAAACTACACTGAAGTGGAGAAGAACTGCTTAAAAATGTTATTACTCAAGTAGAGGCATAAAAGTATTGGTTAAAAGTCCATTCAAGTACTGAGTAATTGATCAAAACATCATTTAATATTTAAAAATTACATCATCAGATGAACCAAAGTATAAAGTTCAGTGGATATTTTGGCATTATAAGGACAAAAATTATAATAATTTATAAAAGCAACAAAAAAAAGTTTAATAATCAGGAAAAAGAAAAATGTTCCAAACAAAGCAGTTTCTTTCAATGTAAGACTAACTGAAACTTTGTGTGAATTTTTGGTTAAAACATGTTTGATGTAATTTGGAAATATACATATTTAAACTGCTTTGACTTCATTATTAAGATATGATTTAAGCGCATTCAGTTTGACACAGAAACTCAAGTCAAAGTACCAAAGGTCACAGTTAAATTACTCAAGTAAAAGTTAAAAGTACAGCGAAGTAAAAATACTCCTAACGGTAATTGTGTCCAAAGTTACTCAAGTTAGGCTGTGTTCACACCCCAGTGAACATAGCCTAAGTGTCCCGCATGCGCAGTAGAGGGCGCTCGGTGTTTGAGCGTGTTCCCAACCGCCATAAAATAGAAGAAGAAGAAAAGCTCCGCGTTGGCGGATGTAAACATGGATGCTAACGATGTAGCGTATCTTACGATGAAGTTGATGTTTTTTTTGTCATCAATTGTATTTATTTGCCGGTTAAATGTTATTTAATGAAATAAAAATAACAATAAGTGCAAGCAGAGCAGTATAATCCGTTCAAAAGAATCGACAGATCAATACTTTCAGCAGGTCTGACTTGGCTGCCAATGTTTTCTTTCCAGCGATATCTTTAGTTTTTCTTGTGAGTGACTCGGTTTCATCCATTGTTACTTCTCAGCTCCATCGTTGGGGGAGCTAACTGCGTTGAGCTTTTTTATTTATTTATTAATATTATTAAACAATCAGTATACAAAGTCGTAGAGGTACAAGGAACATTGCAACATAGGTAAAGAAGAAACAAAACAAGGGGCTAAAACTAAAGACAAAAACAAACAGTAAGGCAAATGAATAGAAACAGAGCAAGATTTAAAACAAAAGAAAATGAAGTTGATGTCCGACCGGAGCCAGCACATTAACAACTCAATCCTCATTACCGTCCGCCACGTTTGTTGTTTTTCTTCCCGCTTGTGCGCATCAGGACGCAGGATAGTGACGTTTTTGTCGGGCATCGATGACGTTCAGGACCCGACCGTTAGGATTCAGGTCACATTTGAAACGATCGGAAATCCAAGTGACCAGAGTCGCATTGGAAAAAAAATCCGATCTGATTTGTTCAGACTGTCATAAAAAGGTCAGATACGGGTCGTATTAAGGCAAAAAAAAAAAAAAAAAAATCGGAATTGGGTCACTTTGGGGATGTAACTGAGTAAATGTAACTAGTTACTAGCAGCTCTACGTATTAAATGATGGCGGAGAAGCTGTGGAAAGGGAAGATCTCTGGATCCAATCCTGACTTTCCATGGTTCCTGTCCCACTGCTCAGATTTTCCTTTGTCTCAGTGCTGGATGGAAAGTCTGCCTGGCTCTGCCGTCTAATTAAATTAAATTTGCTGACCTTCCTCTGACCTCTGCGTCCAGTTTTGGCAGGAGCGCACAATGCTCCTCTGTCCTGGCTCCATCTGACTCCACTGTGGCTCAATATAGAAGCAAACCCAAGCGATTGTCTCCGGCATGTCTGACGGCTCAATCAAATCATTTTAACCGAATGACCATTTTTCTGCATTTAATGTGATTTCACCATCACATGTTGGATTAGAAGAGCATTTTTAGCTTTCAAATGCATTAACATTATGTTTTTTTATTGTATTTACTCAGAGATGGTAGTAACTTGTATTTACTTGAGTAACGTTTTGGCAAAACTAGGAGTATTTTTACTACACTGTGCTATTTACTTTTACTTGAGTAATTGTATTATGAAATATTGCTACTTTTAAGTAAAATTTCTGTATTCTCTATCATGTTTTAACCAAAAACTCACCAGATACAGACACACACCTGCAGTTTTTGTTAAAGTTTCATAAGTTAAATATTGAAAGAAACTGATTTGGGAAATTTTTCTTTTACTTGATTTTGTTATTTATAGAAAACTTAATTTTGATCATTAAGATACCAAAATTTCCACATAACTTTATATTTTAGTCCATTAATGTCTTGCTCTGTTGCTCTGTATTTGAGCAGACGTTAACCAAACACTTCTTTACTTGTACTTTACTAGATTTTCTGTAAATATGTAGTAAAACATGACAATTACAAAGGTGGGTGAAGTACCCAAAACCTGTACTCAAGCAATACTTCAACAAATGTTTACTCAAGTAAAATTAAAAAGTAGCCATCCAAGAAATTACCCTAGAGTAAAAAAAGTACTCAGGTACTTGAGTAACTGATCAATAATTTAATATTTTAACAGTACATAATCAGACAGATCAAAATATAAAGTTACGAGGAAATAATTAAATTTTTTCCCAAACCAGTTTCCTTCAACAAGATGTTTGAGTATCCATAAACTTTACATAAGTACACTGAGTACTTATGTAACTTTACTCAAAAACATACATTTATTTTTAACTGCTTTATTTTGCAAATTTCCTATCATACTAGAAATAAGACAAAACCAACTTACAAGTAACTTTTCAGCAAGAAGTATAAGTTTGTTTTAATAATTCCTCAATATTGATGAAAAAGTTCTAGTTCCACTGGAAGACTGATTTACTTATAACAAGACATTTTTTACATAAGTGCCTCAATATTGCTTTTCAGAAGCACTAGTGAGGAATTATTTTCTTAAAACAAGCTCATGCTTCTTGCTAAAGAGTCACTTGTAAGTTAGTTTAGTTTTATTTAAGATATTTGAGCTAGAAAGAAACCACTTTCTAGAGGTCGCTCTGCAGTTTTGTGGTTTTGCAGTGTACTTTTTCTTGAGTACACTGAGTACAGTGTAAATATGTACACATGAAATAAGACAAAACTGACTTGCATAACACTTCAGTAAGATAATAGAAGTCGTTTGAAGTTTGCTTGATATTCATGAAAAAGTTCTAGTTCCACTACAGATTATTTTACTTAAAGCAAGGGAAAAAATGTCAAGTTGTAAGTGAAATAATCCACCAGTGGAACTAGAACTTTTTCATCAATATTAAAGAATTATTGGCTTAAACTAAGCTTCTATTTTTTGCTTAAAAGTTACTTGAGAGCTTTTTTCCTCATTACAAGTAATATCTTCACTAGAAACTAGACCAAAAACGCTTTTTAAAAGTTTGTGTTTTTGCAGCAACTCTTCATAATAAAGTAACTCAAGTGAAAGTAACTAGTTACTCTCCAACTCTGTGTGATTAGGATCAAACTTTTTCACCTTGATGACGTTGGGATGGCGCAGTCTCTGCAGCAGCAGCATTTCTTTCTGCAGCTTGAAGGAGACCAGCTCCCGGCATCCCTGCGCGTCCTTAAACTCCTTCATGCACTTTCTCATGTCGACGCCTTCCTCGTTGACCATCTTCAGCGCCACGGCCTGACCTCCGGCCACGTTCGCCTTCACCACCAGCTTGGTGTATCCGGACCCGAGCACCTCCACCGCCCGCACGTCCACTAAGGACTCGCAGCCCATCTGATCCCGGTGCGCCTTCCCGGTGCCAAGCGTGACCTCATTCCACAAACTGAGATCCAGAACAGAGTCGGAGGAGTGCTGAACGTCCTCCAAAACTCCGTTTTTCTCATCATCATCACCATCATCACCATAGCGAGGAAGGAGCAGCGGGAGGATCTCTTTCCGTCTCTCCCTGAGTTGGACATCCAGCCCCCTGTGCAGCTCCTCCGGACCGGTGGGGTTGAAAAAGCGCGTTGATCGAGATCCAAACTGCTTCAGGCTCGTAATGAGGAGAGACACCAGGACAGACAGGACCACGAAGGCCAGCAGGGCAGCCGCGCGTAAAGAGTGGCCCATCCCGGGCGCTTTCCCCGTCCGGAGCTGCAAGAACTGCGGATCTGCAGAGCGACTTCTCCGAGTGGGAGCTTTTCGCAGCTGCAGGAGGATCCTGCTCGGCTCCCAGGAAACTCCCTCTGGAGGTGTGTCCTCTCGGAGAGCGCTCGTAACTTTACACCCGCGGGTCAGACGGCTTGGCAGGAGACTCGACCTCATGGTGGCTCGAGTAAAAGTTTTAGCTTTGATTAGGATCTACGGCGGCGTATTAGGGTCATTGTGGATAAAAAAGAGAGAAAGTTTCTGCCACGACCACTGAGATACTCTGAGATTAATGTGATCAAGTTTCTGGAAGAAAAGCAGCAAAAGTCAAAATTTTCCAAAATAAATCTTTGAATTTTGAAAATGTAAGACATTTTCTAGAAAACACCAGGTCATTTTTGAGTTCCAAAGGTCGAAAAAGTGCGAGAAAAACAACTCAGAAATTTTTAGATTAATCTCAGAATATTTTTGGGAAAAATAAAGAAATGTTTGAGAGTCAAAAGTTTCACATTTCTGAGAAAATGAAATCAAAAATTTTGAGATTAGTTTCAGAAATTTTGTAGAAAATCTTGAGTTACAAAAGTTGGGAATTTATGTGAGAAAAAAAAAAAACTTCCAATACGTTGAGATTATTCTCAGAAAAAAAGGACATTTCAAAAGTAATGAAAAGTTCAACAAATTTTTGCAATTTTGAGATTAATAATTTTTTGATTTCCACTTTTTCTATAACATTTCTGAGATTTTTCTTCTCTGATTTTTTTTACCTTCGAAGCTCAAAAATGTCTGTTTTTTTATTTAAATTTTCTGAGATTAATCAAAAAAATTTTTATTGAATTTTTGATCTTTGAAATAAAAACAAAAATTGTTTTTTTTTCTGTGAAAAATTCAGAGAAAATTTAAGTTTTTTGGTGGAAATTTTACTAAATTTTGCCATATCTACATCGGCATTATGACGCCGTTTGTTGCATTTCAAAGAAATGCAACAAACAAAAGTTTTTTTACAGAACATAATCCAATTCAGAAAAAATACCTAGTAACAGCACTTTAATTTTTAGCCACATAAAATATACTGAAGCTCTTTAAGTCAAACATTTTAACAAGCTGAATGTAAAATACAGCCCCTATAGTTAGTGGAGCACTCCTATTATCTGTCCACAAGATGGCAGCAAAACACATCTCTCTTTGTACCAAATTCCTTAAGCAGCAGATTCAGCTTCACCTGGTTCAAATTGTCTAAAAATAATGCTATATTGCTGCATTTTAGAAAATCAAAAGTTTATTTTAAAAAGGAGTTGAATTATTGATTCATTTATATCTTTTAATGTATTTCTAATATTGCATAAAATGCTTGAGTGGTTAAATAAAGAATCTGTAGAATGTGTCAATTTTTAGAATAATCAATTACAAACCAATTGTTCGCTCAAAGACACAATGCAGAACCACATGATGTTGCACAGACTCACATAAATACTGATAAAAATGTCAATACAGTCTAAAACAGAAGCCAATAAACAAATAAATATAAAATAACTTATTGAAAAAAAACATTGCAGAAGGGAAATGTTGATTGTATTGATAGATACTTTTGATTGTTTAAAGTTGCAGTATATAACTTCAATAAAAATGTTTTTTTTACTTTTTAAAACTATCACCATGATGAGACAGATTATGTGAAAATATTGAGCTCCTCCATTTCTTCCCTGAGCTTCTATTGTCCTCTGAAGAAGAAATGCACCGCTCCCGACCAAAACCAACCAATCAAAGCCAGGACAGGAGGCGTGGTTAGGATAGAGGCGTGGTTAGGATAGGTACATTTATCCTAATCAGGGTTTATTCCATCTCATCACTTTGAATCCAAAAAAAAGCTGCTGCTGGCCACGCCCCCTAACAGTTGCTAGGTGACGATAGAGCTCTGCCGGGGTTGCTAGGTAACGGGCTGGCGAGGGGAAGTGACAGATTTGTGACGTTACATTTGAAGGTTTTCGACTCATTTTGCCTCATTTTTCAAATACTAAAAAACATTAACTTATCACCAAACAAACAGATGAGTGTCTTTTAAGCACTTGTTTGTTTTTTGGATCAAAATGTAAGAGCAAAAACATGCAAAATGTGAATTTTTTGCCAATTTTTTTTTCATTTTAACTTGTCCAGCAGCCATTGTACAGAGGTAAAAAAAAAAAAAAACGGAGCTAACCAAACCCAGGTCTCTGCCTTTGTCGCTCCCCTTGAATCAGATGGGGAAGTTTTCCTACCAGACAAGAAACATTTATGAATGTAATGTTAATATGAACATATTTAGGAAGGGGTAAGACAATTATGTTTTTTGGTGATATATTTTATAAACCGTATCATGATTTTGCAATATGTTCCTTACTGCAAAATCGCGTTTTTTTTCCGACATTAATGGAATATCGACAAAGTTTTGCGCACATTTACAATAGGAACGCAGTTACTGCTTAAACTTCCCTCATTCAAAATTAAGTTGCGAGATTTTATCCGGGTAATCCAAACCTTATTCAGACGGAAAATCAAATTAAATTACAAGAGGTTTTTTGGATAAGATGCAATCTTTCAAACACCAAAAAACCATGAAATTATTACCAAACAAACAGCTGGGTGTTATTTTCTAATTTGCATTTTGCAAAAACGTGCAAAAAAGCAGTTTAAAAAAATATGTGGAACATCAGACATTAGATGAACGCATATGATGTTATTTCTATTTCCACACAGTCTTCCTCTTGCATCCAGCTGTGTTTGTGCCTCACTTCCTGAAGCAGCTCTGCGGCTCTAATGAAGCGATTTCTCCCACGTCGCCATTCTCAGGCTGAAAGCTGCCACAGGAAATTACCATGCCTGTCACCTCAGCGCGCCCGCCACAAGCTCAGCCCTCCCCTCCTCTTCCCAGCTCTTTGTGTGTCTGGCTTCCAGTTTTGTATCCGTCAGCCTCCCCAGATGTGTGTGTGTGTGTGTGTGTGTGTGTGTGTGTGTGTGTGTGTGTGTGCGCGCGCGCACTAATCATTTTCATATTAAGTAAACGGGGCTTCAGCTGCGTCAGTTGTCTCTCAGGCTGTGCAGAAACCTCCGACAAACCAACACTCCTCGCATTTTAGCCAAGAAACTTCCTGTAATTGAATCAATGCACTTTATATTGATTTTCCGTCTGAATCAGGTTTGATTAATCCGGATAAAATCACACAATTCAATTTAGCAGTGAATGGTTTGAAGCCCTAACAAAAGACACGTTTCTACTGCTAATGTGCGCAAAATTGTTTTTGGCCAGGATATTTCATGAAAGTTTTAGATTCATTTGGATTATTTGTGGGGAGTTTTGTCTACTCTTATGTTGATTTTAATATGTTCGGTTTATTTAAAAAAAAAAAAAAACATACATTGTTTAAACCCAGCCAGCACACCTAGGTGGGCCCCATATGGGATATAAGTGGGCAGGCAATATGGGTCCCAAAAGGGTTTGTCCACGGTTTCCATGGTGGCCCCACATGGGTTTGCCCAAGTAGATTTTAATGGGTGCTAACTGGGTTTTCAGTGGGTCCCACATGGTTAACTCACATGAGGCCCATCTGTGGCCCACTAGGGTGCTGTCAAGAATATTTACGTGGGTCCCAATTGGGTCTGAACTGGGCTAGAATATGGGTACCAAGTGGGTTTGTCCACGGTTTCCATGGTGGCCCCACATGGGTTTGCCCAAGTAAATCTTTATGGGTGCTGACTGGGTTTTCAGTGGGGCCCATGTGGTTAACTCACATGAGGCCCATCTGTGGCCCACTAGGGTGCTGTCAGGAATATTTACCTGGGTCCCAATTGGGTCTGAACTGGGCTAGAATATGGGTACCAAGTGGGTTTGTCCACGGTTTCCATGGTGGCCCCACATGGGTTTGCCCAAGTAGATTTTAATGGGTGCTGACTGGGTTTTCAGTGGGTCCCACATGGTTAACTCACATGAGGCCCATCTGTGGCCCACTAGGGTGCTGTCAAGAATATTTACGTGGGTCCCAATTGGGTCTGAACTGGGCTAGAATATGGGTACCAAGTGGGTTTGTCCACGGTTTCCATGGTGGCCCCACATGGGTTTGCCCAAGTAGATTTTAATGGGTGCTGACTGGGCTTTCAGTGGGTCCCACATGGTTAACTCACATGAGGCTCATCTGTGGCCCACTAGGGTGCTGTCAAGAATATTTACGTGGGTCCCAATTGGGTCTGAACTGGGCTAGAATATGGGTACCAAGTGGGTTTGTCCACAGTTTCCATGGTGGCCCCACATGGGTTTGCCCAAGTAGATTTTAATGGGTGCTAACTGGGCTTTCAGCGGGACCCAGATGCCTTAATCCTGTAGGAACAATTCTCATCTAACCTGGATGTGAATTACATTCATAGATATGCAATCTTGATCAACAATCCAAAGTCTAGCTTAAAACGTGTTCAAATAAAAAATAAAAAAAAAGAGATGAAAAATTTATTTTGCTCAAGGCTTTATTTAGTAATTTAAAATATTGTCAGGAGTTATTTTTTACCTCACTACAGCAATTATTAGAACTTCATTAATACTCAGGGAATGGTGCCACAAAAAGAAATCTGCAATTATTCACGACATCTTTGAAAATAACAGAAGCTAGTTTACTATAACAAACTTATAAACAGATCTATAAAATATATCTATAGATGCACACAAATAAAGACACCTACATATTTTCCTACAGGTCTATAAATGTATACATCTAAATACTATCTATATAACTTTATACACGTATATTCACATTGATACACACAATGTGAATATACACACCTATATAGATCTTTCACAATACATTTTTGTTAAACATTTTTAAAAATAACCTACATGCCATATGCATGCTTAAATTTGAAATCTCTCATACTTTACTGAAACTGTCCATCTTGAAAGACCTCCCCAACCTGAGTTTGAACTGGCAGTCTCTCTAGTCTATTTCCACTTCCACTCGGGCTCCAGTAAACCACTTCGAGAGTCTTTGCTGTATGCTTGTGTGATTCTGTAGATGGATAATTTCTTTTAAGTCCCCTGAAATAACAAGCAAAGGTAGAAATTGTATTAGTGTTTCATTTTAGCACAATGTAACATTCATGAGATTTGCATCTCCCCCTTCATGGGGCAAAAATGCTTGCAGAGATATGCCATAATCAAA